AGCAACAAAAAGGAAGACAGGAGCGGGAGTTGTGGTAACATTTCTGAAAATTAAGTCTTCTAGAGTGAGGTTATCTAGACACCGTGGTGTAACTGAAGTGTCAGTCAGTAGATACTCAGGAACATTTTGTTCCAACTCCTTTCCCATTCATTCCCAAAATAAAAACTAGCAACATGTTTTCTTAGGTAAGGCCAGGGTTGGATAAGAGTGGGCAGCAGGGCAGAGTGACTGCTTTGTGGCCAGCTTGACGTGCGTTCGAATCCTCTGCTCTTTGCCAGCTACTTTATCTTGTGCAAGTTACTTAACATTGTGGATCTCAGATTCTGCATTCATAAAAACAAGAATGCCACCACCTACCTTGCAGGGTTCTGAGAACCATATAAGATTAACATTTATAAAAGCTGCTGGCACATTAGAGACACAATAAATGGTAGTTATAACTATTGTGAAACTTCAGCTAACTTTTCCATTTAGGAAATGATACACACACCCCCTTCCTAAATTAGGGATCACCTAGTCATAACTACATTCACCTAGAATGGTCTTTGGAAAATACAAGCTGAGCTTCCCCCACCCTTCATTAATAGAGCCTTTAGCTCTATTAATGAACAACCCACCATGTGGAGCCAAGAATCAGGGAGGGGCCAGTTGCTTAGAGGAGCTGGATAGAGGAAGAAAGGCTCAGTTCCATATTAATTTGTAGTTGCTGATAACCCATCCAGTGTTCAGAGCAGAGGAATAAAACTGAGTGGAGCGTGGGTGTACGGTTCAACAAACCCTGACTTACACCATCTGTAAGAGAGCTCTCTCCTCCCCCCTGTAAAAAAGGATAGAAGTTTAAGGGGAAAAACAAGAGTGGTGGGAGCAGTCAGGCACACAAAATTAATTCCACATCTAGTTCTAATCACTGAGGGTGAAAAAAGAGCAATAAGTAGTAATGGGAGAGAGCCCTGGTTCTTGGCTAGCACAGCCACTGTGCTGTGTGACTCCGAGCAAGTATTTGCCCCTTCTGGGCTTCTGTTCAATGAGGACATTGGGTTTCAATGTGCCTGAGTCCTCTTCCAGCCCCTCATATGACACTTACGCCAGTGAATTAATGCAGGGAGGCCCCACTGTCAGTTTCAT